GAGCAAGGAAGACCCCCAACTAGAAAGAGATTGCTCATAAACATAGTCCAAGGAAATTCCACAACATCCAGATGTTAGGGCAGAGAGGTGGGGCAGTTAGGCTGTCCCCTCAGTGCGGCAGGGACGACTTACCTATTGTGCCTTTATTCTTTCCTGAGTCGGTACTGTAACCAGCCTAGTGTGGAGGAGATTGGCAGGAACTAGCCCCTACAGTTTTCTCCATGTGTATTTGACTTCGTTGGAAGGACTGTTCTGTTCTGGGGCGTTTGGTCATTGTCAAGAGATTGCAGTGAAGCATTGGCTGAATCAGTCCAGCCTCCATGTCCCTGAATAGGTTAGTAAACTCCAGATATAAGTCAATGATCAGGGGAGTCTGCTTTAAAGGGGAAAGGACCAGATTCCGCTTTAGGGGTATAGAGGGTGATGTTGGGTGCAGGTGCAGACCATCTTTTAACCTGCATGTGAGTTCAGTGCTAGGCAACAGATTGGAAGGAGGGTCCCACCCTTGGAAATAGCTGGCCAGGGTATGGCTGTGGAGATCTACTGGAAGACTTGATAGAAGGGGGCTATATAAAAAAACTCCCGCTAGGAGGAAGGGGAGGTGTTTCAGAAGCTGCTGTCCATGGTGCCACACAGGAACTTCAGCTCTACCTTGCAGAGGTTGTAGGACTAGGGTTATTAACTGCCTTAGAAGCTAAGATCCACTGATTCTGAGGGTGGGGACAGCTGGGATAAAGTTAGTATGGGTTAGGGATTGAAGTAGTGAAAGTACCATTATTCACTAGGGGAGGTAGGCCTTGAGAGGCCAGTGGATACATTGTTTTGAGGGGTTTTTTTAACTAGTAAGTACACATAGCATAAAATTTTCCCTTTTAACCATTTGAAAGTATACAAAGTGGTATTAAATCCGTTCACAAGTTGCCCAACCATTAAATCCATTCACAATGTTGCCCACTATCTAGTTCCAGAGCTTTTTCACCACCCCAAATGGAAATCCTATAGCCCCGTTCTTCCCTCCCCCAGCCCTTGGTAACCGCTAAGCTGCTTTCTCTCCCTATGGACTGTGAATGGACTTGATGTCAGACCAGTCTGGGTTCATCCTGGCCCTGCCATTTGCTTACAGTGTGTATTTGTTCAATTGACTTTGCTTCTCTGAGCCTCAGTTTTCCACAGTTTTAGAATTGGAACAAAATGCTTATCCTGCAGGACTCTTGTGAAGACTGATTATATGTTAAATGTTTTTGATGTTGTTTTTAGTTTTTCGTTTCTTTGTTATGTTAAATGTTTAGCTCAATATCTGGTTCATTCTTTTGTAGACATGCAATGCATGGTAGTTATTGTTTGCTTCATAAAAGCAATATTATCGGAACCCCCTACTGGCCAGCTGCCAAAAAAAAAAAAAAAGAATAAAAGCATATCAGTGAGATTCTTTTACATTGTACACTACCTTGTCAAACTGCTTATTCACCAGAAATCCTGGTGACACACAACTTAATAATCTACTCTGGTGAAGTAGGGAACTTGGCTTTTGACTTCCAGGCTACTTGAGGAGTTGGGAAGATAACTATATATTCATAGACTAATTTTATGTTACAAGCCTAAAATGCTATTGGAATTTAGAGAAGGAAAAAAAAATCATTTTAGAGTGGTTTGATGCTTAATAAATATTTGAATTAGTAAATGAATGAACAATCGAATGGGCAAATATTTGGTAGGCTTATGGAAGTGGTAGAACTTGAGCTGGGCCAATTTAATAAGTACCATTGCTTATCTTTCATCTTCAAAACACAATTTGGTCATTAGGATGCATAGCAACCCTTAAGGCAGATAAAAGAAACTGGATTTTGATTATTGTTTTTAGATAACCAGCCCAAAACTTTGGAAAAATAGATGTATTTCAATCAAGGAAGTTTAAAGGGTGGTAGATTTGGGTTCAGTACACAGAGGACTTTTATTAGTGTTAGAAGGGGGGTGATAATCACATGTGTATCAGGAGAGGCATCATAGAAAAGAAAGGTATCTCTTTTCTGTGAGATATCATAGAAAAAATTCATTTATCAGATTGACTCAAATGGAGATCATATCTCTACATCTTTTCACTTTGAAAAAAAAATTTCCCGCTTCTATATTCCTGTGAACTTAATGGATATTAGTTGATGAATTGATAGGTATTATTCTTAATTTTTCTTTTTCCTTCTACATGCCCTTCTCCTCATCACTATCCCATAAACCCATTTTATTTTTCTTCATAGCACTTGTCACTACCTGATATTGTAGTTACTGTTCATTGCCTGTCTCCCCCACCAGAATGTAAGCTCCCTTGAAGTAGATACTTTGTTCACCACTGTTTCCAGTGTGCCTAGCACATAATTGGCACTCAATAGACATTTATATAAAAATTTGTAAAAATTAATATGTATGTATAAGTAGTTGTACAGTTTTTTATAAATACAAAAGTGCTTGTTTCTAGTAAGAAAATACAGAAAAGTATAAGAAAGAATAAAAAATTATAGGAGTTTATGAACAACCTATACCTCTGAGAATTGTGCTCCACTGAGTTCCTGTTAAATTTTGAGGTACATTGGCCCTATCAAGCCAGTAAATAATAGAGATTTAACTCCATCTGTTTTTTGTTTTTCTGTGTGTTTTTTTTTTTTGCACAAAAAAATGCTGGTAAGGAAGGATGGCTCCACAGGGATTACCTCTGAGAATACAGGATCCAGAGCCAAACAATAGGCCCTTACTTTATCTGGAGGAAACTCTTCTTTTACTTCCTGTAATTGGTGATATCATAATTAGGCCTGCATATTGCTTCTGAACGCTGCTGTACAAGGCACTTCATTTAGCTGGGCTTATGGCGATTAGATCATCTGCAGGAAGCTGGCTCCTTGGTTATCAGGCTCCACAGAGGAGCTGGGAGGCTTAAGGGATATAAAAAATTAGGGTTGGTTTAAAGGGAAAGTATTCCCTGGAAAAGCACAGAGATGTTTGTCAGCTTGTGAAAGTGCCCCCATGACCTTTAGTTTCCCATAAGCAGCATCGATTCCTACCTCAATACTCTTTCTATAAGGGCCTCTTTAAGCTTCCCTTTCCTCATCTTTAAAGTAGGGCTGCTAATGTACTGACTTTTTGAGATTGTTATGCTAATGAGCTAATTCTTTAAAGAATCTAGCACAGTACCTGGAAGATAAACTCAGCACAGTTCCTGGAACGCATAGTAAGAGTGTAATCATTGGCTGTTCCTCTTCTTTTATCATTATCAATGCCCATACTATTAGATTTTAATTTATTTATTTATTTATTTTTTTGTCTTTTTGTCTTTTTTCCATGTCCGGCAACGGATCGCAACCCTCAGTGTTGCCCCCGTACCGGACCGGGGACCGGCGACGGGATCGCAAGCCTCGGCGTTGCTCCCGCGCCTCGCTCAGCCAGTGAGCGGGAGCCGGTCTGTATGTGGGATCCGAACCCTCGGGCGGGAGCGCCGCCGCGCTTCCCAAGCGGCGCACTATCCAGTGCGCCACCGGGCCGGCCCAAGATTTTAATTAATTTATTATAACAGAATTACATTTTGGAATCCTATTGTGTTTGACTGGAATTTTGAATAACATTTTGCACTTCTTAAGGGACTTTAAATTATCCTCCTTGAATTATTATTGTTATAGTAGGTTTACTTGTGTTATTTTTCCTGTTACCTCATAAGCAATCTGGGGGATAATGACTCATTCATTTTTTTTTTTTTTTTTGTCTTTTGTCTTTTTTCCGCGTCCGGCAACGGATCGCAACCCTCAGTGTTGCCCCCGTACCGGACCGGGGACCGGCAACGGGATCGCAAGCCTCGGTGTTGCTCCCGCGCCTCGCTCAGCCAGTGAGCGGGAGCCGGTCTGTATGTGGGATCCGAACCCTCGGACGGGAGCGCCGCCGCGCTTCCCAAGCGGCGCATCATCCAGTGCGCCACCGGGCCGGCCCGACTCATTCATTTTTATATTCATTACAGTGCTTAGGACTGTGCTTTGAGCCCAGTGGATATTCAATAAAAGTTTGTTGAATTGAATACATTTATGCTAGCCTTACTGAAAGATACAACTAAAATATATAATGTAATTTACAATTTATTGTTAAGAAAAATCAGTATCTTCATACACTTAACTGTGTAAAGCTGGTGCAGATCTATGTGTGCAGTATAATTTCTTTGAACATTTACTGAATTGGAGAGAAAAGGACATGCCTATGTGGCAGTCACATCTTAAGAGTGATGAATGTATATAGAGCAAGCTATGTTTTGGGTTTTGTTTTGTTTTCAAATCTAGTTTTAAGTTTTTCTACTTAGTGGTAATTATTTGTTAGTTCCTAACAGCAGGGCCTCCAGCAATACAACAATTATTGTATAGGTGAATAATAAGCAGATTAGGACACTCAGATGGAGCCAAAAGTAGGAAAGAAAGAGGTCAGAAAATGGGTTATTCACTCATTTCACTAGGCAGTTCTTCAGGCCACACATGTGCAAGTGTGTTGCTCCAGTTCAGTTTTTCTTTTTCTTTCTTTTTTTTTTTTATTTATTTTTATTTTATTTTTTTTGTCTTTTTTCCGTGTCCGGCAACGGATCGCAACCCTCAGTGTCGCCCCCGTACCGGACCGGGACCGGCAACGGGATCGCAACCCTCGGTGTTGCCCCCGCGCCTCGCTCAGCCAGTGAGCGGGAACCGGTCTGTATGTGGGATCCGAACCCTTGGCGGGAGCGCAGCCGCGCTTCCCAAGCGGCGCACTAGCGCAGTGCGCCACCAGGCCGGCCCCTCCAGTTCAGTTTTTCTGTTTCAGCCTGTCTGCTGACCTCAAATGGTTTCTTCACCATGTCTGAGCATACTCTTAGAGCTAAAATTGTGTGCCTTAGGATGAGAGTGTTGCTTAAGATAAGGCTCTAAGCCCTGCTGAATGTCTAGTGTTTGAAAACCATTGCTCTGTCCTTGCAGTCATAGTATTTCTCATCATTTCCTTTTCCCTAGGTGTATGTGGTTGGGAATGAACCTTTATCAGTTTTGGTGGATTCCCTTCTTCCAGTCCTGGGAGTATTCTTTTCTCTCTACTGTTTTACCAAGCAGAGTGTGTCTCATATAAGGTAAACTATCAAGAGAACCTTATTTGTTTATAAAAGAATGATTTATTTATAAATAATGAAGTCTTTCTTGCGTGTTGTTCTTGTTCTTATTTTGAATATGAGACTTACCACACTTTGTAATTATTATTTCCTTTCAAAGCCAGGAAGACATTTGGGGATCCTCTTATTCTGCTTATCTAGAAAAGAAACAGAATTTTGCAGATGGCAGGGGATTAGATATAGTTTTTAGAGTGGCTTTCCTCAGCCTCTGTCCTAGACATCAGAGATGAAATCTCTGCTTACCTGTATAAACATGCCATTGTTTGATCAGTAAGAAATACTGCAATTATATGTCTAGGAAGGAGGAAGTAGGGGATGGATCATAATGACCTTGTGGGGAGTTAGAAAACAAGTTCAAGAAACCTGGATCTGAATGTAGCACGTTGTAATTTAGCTTGGGATTTGGTGTTGGTGATGCAGTGTTGTTTAGAAAGAAGGGATTTCTTAGTCATCCAGGAAACACTCTTTTGTACTCATTTTATATGAGCTCTATTTTTACAGTCATTTACTGTTTATTGTTTCTTCCCCCTGGTAACGGTTTATATCCCATCTAAAATCCTACTGAATTCTGACTTTTGGTGTTTGAAGAATTCCACATGTAATCTTATACACAATAATAGGACTTTTTCACAGGGTCATCGAGAAGACTAGATATGCCTTCAAGTGCTTAGCACGGTCCCTGGAAAATAGTAAGCTCAATAAATGGTAGATCTGTCTTGTTATCATCACAGCTAAGCGGTGAAAGGAAATGCTAAGTGTTGCATATTATTCAAAGTTTACATACTGCCTTTGGCTGTTTGACTTTCATTCAGCACATCTTTTGTAGGCCACAGCCACAAGGACAGTGAGGAGAGAATGCAGTGGCACATGGAGGCCATAAATATGTGAATTTGGTGTCAAGGGACTGTCCATATAATAACTCTTGTTTTAGTTTTAAAACCCAGGTCCTCACCACATTGTCATGTCCTCATCAGATGTGAACATTTATTTAATTGCTGTCCTAGTTGATTGGCACAAATAAAAGGGGATGAGGAATCAGCAATATTCTGTTGGTATGCTGTTTCTTGGTCTCCAGCTGTTTGGTTCCACTCATAGTAGATGGTTTTATCCCTGTAAGCTTTCTTTCACAGTGCCTTATCCAAAGGCAATAGTGTACTTGGAATACCAAAAAAAAAAGAAAAAAGAAAAAATTACATGGGGCTCATGTGGCATATCAGAGTTGCTTCTAGAGCCAAGGATTAGTCAGTCACTTATTGAATTTCAGGATATTTGCATTCTGAAATTTACAAGGATCATACTTTCCACTCCTGCATTTCAGTAGTACTAGATGATTGTGCCAGCATTTAGAATGCAGTGGAACCTGACAGTCTATCCTTCTTTTTTTATGTTAGCTTGTTAAATGTGTAGAGTAAGATGATAAGCTCATTCATAACTGCTTTTTCTGCCAGGTCACTTTGCCAAGAGATCTTATTATGGATTCTAGAGAAGCTGGAGAGGAAGAAGGCAATTGCTAGCCTGAAAGGATTTGCAGGGTTGGACAAATCTGTGCCCTCTCTCCATTCTCTGTGTCAGTTTAGAGCTGCCACTCAAGGTGGCATTATGATCACCATCAAAGAGGCCATTAGGTAAGTCCACCCATCCTTTACTGTCTCTTTTCAGATTTAATTCTACGCAAAAGGCCATTCTATGACTCAACCACTAAGGGGCGCTGATATGAAAGAAACCAGAAACTCAAGCAGCAGAGGCTCTTGCTATTTATAATCTTAAATGAAATGTGAGCTTTAAATAATCCTCCAGATTTTTTTCCAAGATGCCAGCTAATACTAGGTGCAATTTATTGGACCCTCATGGCTCAGCTCTGCATCACAGCAAGCCCACTTCACAAAGTCTTTGCCAGTTAATCAGAATAAAGGACAGACACATGTTCACCTTAACACCATTAATAATCCAGTTCTCTTTCTGATTATCAAAATGGTACATATGTGTGTTCACAGTCAGACTTATTCTTAAGGGAAATTGTTTGTAAGCTATCTTTTATAGTAATTTTATGATGGGGGTTTGTTTTCCATAGGGATTGATTAGAAAGTGCTTAATAAACGTTAGTGGAATGGATAATTAGTTTCTCCAACATCTCACAAATGTATATGTTAAATTATTTCCACTTTCTGGGTGGTCTGTGTAGGATGTTTTACCTCAGAATGTAAGTTCCAGTTGATCATTGTCCATATAGTATTTAACTGGTGGCAACTACCCTATTTGGATTTCACATCACATTCAAAATGCTGTTGGTTGAAGTGTTTAAATTTAATTTTATATTTATGATTAACTTGGTTAAATTTTAAAACACACTCTCAATATGATGGACTTGAGGAAAATATAAAAACATAGATTGCAAACAGAATTGTTGGTACACATTCAAGCTACTAATTTACAGAGAGTTGCTGAGCATTAGTAGGTTTTGAGTTTACAACTATGTCCGTGAACTGAAAGAGTTTACAATTTTTTGGCGTGTTTATTTAAAAAATTCTTTGGAACACTTTTTACCTGGAATCAATTTAGTGACTGTACAAGGAATTTTACAGTACTTAGTAGCTACAACTTATTGCTATCTCTTTTTTTTTTTTTTTTGGTGACTAGTCAGTAAGGGGATCCAAACTCTTGACCTTTGTGTAACACCATGCTCTAGCAACTGAGCTAACTGGCCAGCCCTTGCTATCTTAAAAATTCTTTAGTGCACTTCTTAGTTTATGTATGTCGAAATCTACTTCTTATTGTAACTAGTTTCTCTTCATGGTAGGGAAAAAAAGAAATGAATAGGCAGTGAATACATGAATCTTCATCCACTGCCAGAAGCAATGGGTCCTTAACTTGGGGTATCTACATGGACTTCTACGGGTCTATTATCCTCCTGAAATAATGCACACGAAGAATTTTTATATGCAATCATGAATTTTTTTAAAAAAATAGGGTTTATAACTTTCATTAGTTACTTAAAACAGTCCATGTTTCAAAAAAATTGACAACCACTATTCCAGAGAAGTGTGTGTATGTGTGGTTTTCTCATTTGTTCTTAAGCTCCTGCTCATGATGCTAGTCCCCTAAGGACACGGTCAGTCACCTTGGTTTGTCTCACCGCTTACCTTTCACTCTACCATTCTGCCTAGCACAAGTCATCAATAAAAAGTTTGTTTAAAGAAAAAGAGTAGCTTAGATTTCACGATCTTTGGATTCAGAGTTTTTAGTTTTCTGGAACTAAATATAACTATATGGAATTGACTCTTTATCACTGAAATTTTAAGAGAGAGGAAAATAGTGCTTCTTAAGATAATTGTCATATCTTTTTAAGACTTTTGAATACAGTACTTCATTTTGACAATCAGGATGGTTCATAGAAACTTGGAATTGATGTTCATCCATATCAACTTTTCTTCTAACATTGAACGAGGTAGAGAAAACATGACTGATCTGAAGGACTCTGGTAGATTCTGGAATAATCCTAAGCTACATGTATAGGTTATTCATTCTACTAGAGGAATATGAAGGCCATGCTATTAGGGAATTAGCAAATTGGGACACACATACTGCCCAATGACATAGTCTGCCAAATTAACTTTTATAATTGTAAATTTCAGTGAGATAAAGCAATATGTCATTTTTCTCTTAATTTAGTCTGAAAATTTTTTAATTCTTTCTTTGATCACAAAAGTAACACGTTTTTGTATAGTACAAAAACGCATAAAGAGGAAAACAAAAATCAAACAGTATCTTATTTATTTATTTACTGTTTAAATTATTTTAATGTTTTCTTTTTTAGTACATCTGTATTTTTGTATTCGTTTATATGATATGGTATAATGATACTGTATCTTGGTCTTTTTACCTAGGTGAATTAAAACTAAAAGTCATAGCACCTTATGAGAAGTTTCTTGAATTTTTTTGCAGTAATCATAGCACTGTTTTCAATAACTTAGCCAAATTTTATTAGTTGGTAATTATATTCAACCTACTCATTTTTCTAAACCTTTATGCATTTTCTTATCTCAACTAACGGTTCATATTAGTTGAGATTGACTACCTCTCCTCTCATGATAATTGTGTCTTTTGCTACTGCCCATAACCCTTCAGTGGCTTATCAGAAAAAAGTCAACAGTTCCTTTGAACGACATCCAAGGCCCTCTATGATCTGTCCTCACTTTGCAGCCTTCTCTTTCTCTGTTCTTCCTCAGGAACCAGAATATCATTATACAACTTACACTTAAACTCTTCCTCGCTTTTGCAGCTTATAAAATAATAGTAATTCTTCAACATCCATTGTAAAAGCCACTTTCTTCTTGAATTTTCCCTTATTTGAGTGAATGACCATGTAGGACTTAATAGCCTAATTTCTGAGAATAAATATTATACTTTTTTCAGCATGGAGAAATAAGAAAATAATCACATTTTTTGAGATCTTTCTAATGGAAACAACATGTACTTTAGAAGATTATTATAGGGTTTCAAAAAAATCTCTGGGGGACATGCCAAGATAAATCTTACCCTGAATTGCAGTGATAAAGATGAAGATGAAGTCTTGTACCAGAAGGTGTCCTCAGAGCAGGGCCAGGTAGAGCATCTTGGAGACTTGCTTTCCCACTGCGAGGAGTGTGGTTTGGCTGGAGACTTCTTCATCTTCTGTTTGGAGGTAAGAACTACATATAGATCATGGTCAACTTTATTCAGGGTAGTTCCAGTATGAATGCCTTTGAATTTTCAAGGTATTCATAATTTTAGGCCTTAAAATTTGGGTCCTAACTTAGAGAAAATGATCAAGGACATAAGGGCAATTTATTTTTTAGTAGACTTTGGGTTGGTAAAAGGTAGAAACTTATCTTCATTAGTACTCATGTGATCTAAATACTTTCCAAGGTAATCTGCTCTGAAATTCTAGAGATGAACAAAGCAGAACTTTTGATCTATGAAAGAGTTAATCTTTGCTCTGTGTTGACAGTAAGAACTCTTTTGAAGTTAATAGCAGGTTTTACAGCTATAAAGTAATCCCTTTCCTTTCTGACTGTTGTTTTGTCAGGTATTTAGAAAGGAGATTTAGCAGTTCTGCCTCCCTCGTTTAGTTTTGTAGCCACTCGAAACCTTTTCTGGGTTTGTTTCTTACTGCCAGTGGCTGTACTTCCTTTTGCCCTAATCTCTGATGGTAACTTGTACCCCGTAATATTACTCCTTGTTTGCACTATCTGATAAGCTGGTGACCTGAAGCTCTGCCTTCTCCACTCTTTCCCCTAAATAAAGCATCTATTCTAAGAGAATGTCTGTGGAGTTTAAGGTTGTTTGGGTATGAGAGAATACAAGGAGGGAATTGGGGCTAACATTTCTAGAATTTGAAGTAGGGGACACTCTTCTGATGTTTTTTACCTCCCCTGTTCAGGTCTATCCCCCTACCCAGCCACTTATTCTAAATAACAATCCAATTGTATACTTTTTTAAAAAAAGCATACTCTTAATTGTATACTTTAAAAAAACATTGTTTAAAAAACAAACAAGTCAAAGAGTTTTGCTCTAAACCAGGGTATCTCCACCTTTGTATAATTGACATTTTGGGCCCAATAAAGTTTTTTCTTGTGGGGGGCTGTCTTGTGCATTATAGGATATTTAGCAGCGTCCTTGACTTCTACCCTCTAGATGCTGGTATTATCCCCCAATTGTGACAACTGAAAATGTCCCCAGACATTGTGAAATGTCTTTTGGGGACCAAAATTGCCTAGGGATAGTTGAGCACCACTGGTCTAAACTGTCCATTACTTTGGTAAAGCACTAATTGTTAGGGAACTTAAACTTTTACGTTCCCAAGGAAATTTACAACTTTGAAGCATAGGTGAAAGGCCTACAAAACCCACAATAATTAATTATCTGTTAATAGAAGTTTAGTTCTAAATATCTTAGATGGAGATGGTTATGGTCTGAAGGCATCTAATGATCTCTAAAAGTGGTCTGGGAATGTTACATGGCCTGAGGTTCAGTTGAAAGAAGGCTTGTGGTAGAGATCATGAAAATACTGATAAAGTAAGAAGTCTGTCAAACTAGTTCTTTGTGTGTGTGTGTGTATGTTTTTTTATTATGAGATTTAAAATTTTCATATACATGGTATCATAATGTTCTTATTATTCTGCAACTTAAAATTTTCATTCAGTTTTTTTTGAGATCTGTCTATATTTATATCCATATAGACCTAATTCATTTATTTTAATTGCTGCGATATAATAAATACAGCATAGTTTATTCTCTTATTGCTGGGAATTTAAGTTGTCTCCAAATTTTGGCTATTATAAGTAGTGCTACAACAAACACAGACTCTTTATTTAAGTATACATTTCAAACAGAATTTTCTAGCTATGTTTTTAAAGCCTGTAGTTCTACTGGCTTTTTCTTCAGTTCTTTCCTTCCATGCTTATAGGAGTTGACTCATGTGGCCATGGAAAATGAAGCAGAATTTAAAACTAAGCCCTTCTCCAGCAAAAGCCTCTTGGAATTAGAGCAACATCAAACTCTTCTTGTGGAAGGCCAGGAGCGGAAGCTGCTGGTCCTGCAGCTGGTGGCTGTTCTGTGCGAGAGAATGTCTGAACAGATATTCACAAATATCACTCAGGTCAGTGGCTGGCACATTCTGGACCCCAGCCTGGTGGTATTTGTCTATTTCGGTTTATTTATAGTCTTTCCAAAAAATGTTCAGAAATGTTGTCCAGAGTGTGGTTTGATGACACCTGCATCAGTGTTTCCTGGAAGGCTGGTTAGACATGCAGATACTGAGCCCACACCAGGCCAACTCAATCTGAAACTTTCGTAGGTCCTGGGAATCCACATGTTTAACAAGCTCCTGAGGATGATTCTCCTGCACATAAAACTTTGAGAACTGTTTTAAATATTTATATGTTATGTCACAGTGGTTTTTAACTTTGGGTGCAAGTGAAATCATCTAGGATCTCTTTCAAAATACTGATACCTGGCCCACTTTTAGAGATTCTGATTCAGCATTGCATCAGAGCCTGGGCATCTTTATTTTTTGAAAGCTCCATGGATGATTCTAATGTGTATCAAAAGTTGAAAATGATTAGAAACTCGAATTTGAAAAAAAAAGATCACAGTCATAATAAGATCACCTTGAATTTTATAGGTCCTCTAACTCAAAGCTTATCTCTTCAAATCCTGTGAAGTTTTAAGATTTTTCTAAAAGATACTTTCAGGGTAGTATAACTGTGTGAATCAGTGCCTGAATTTTATTGGCTCAGATACCATTTTTACCACCTTTTTAAACAATGGAAAATGAAAGTAATAAAATATAGGCAGTGCAGTTGCCATATTTTACCACTTCACCAAAATTAGTTGTTGCTTGGTTGGCGAATAGTCAGTTGTAAGATGGTACGATTGTCATGCTTAAATCTGATTCTGTAGTTCTTTGTATCGTCGTCATTGTCATCTGCCTTCGGGTGTTGCTAAGCAGCATTTCACTGTAGCTCCTGCTGAGAAAATTTGCAGCTGCCTATCAGTTCTGACTTATCGTGCCTGTTAAATGAGAATTATGTTCACGATTTCTTTCCTGGCCTCTTATTCCTTCAGTTCACTGACCCTGTGTTACTCAGTAGGGTGATTTGTTTCTCCTTTGTTTATTTTCATTCCCTGAAGACTTTTTCATCCAAACATTGTGTTTTTGTCTCAGGATGCTTGTTGGAAGGGGAAATGGCCTCAACACTGATATGACTTGAGCTTTTGCACTTATCTCCCTTTACTCCTAATTAAGGAACAATGGTATTAGACTGGTACAAAAATGAGTTGTCCAATTAGATTATCTTTCAGCTAAGGTTAAAATGTATTAGAACAAAAAGAACCACGAGGAAATATTAAATTGCATTTAGTAATTTTACTGCTAGTGATAATATTGGTATGTTATTTTGAAACACACACACATACACATGAATAAAGAAAATAAATTATAATTAATTTTGTTAATATTATTAGGAATCAAAATTTTTAGCATAAGAAAAGAGTTATAAATATGAAGTCAAAGAACTAGAGGACTGGCCAGTTAGTTCAGTTGGTTAGAACGTGGTGTTATAATACCAAGGTCAATACCAATACCAATATCCCTATAGCAGCCAGCCACCGAAAACAAAACAAAGGACTGGAGTAAAAAATAGGGTAAAACTATAGTAAAAACCCTATAATTGAATTTCAGTTGGAAGTATTAGGGTGAACTCATGATTTATTTTTCCATTTTTTAAAAATAGATATTTTCTAACTTGGTCTGCTGTCAATGACAATAAGCAGTGACAACCCAGTAGCAATAAGCATCCTTTAGTGCCAGAGTATAGTTTTTAAATACCATTTTATATTAAAAGAACTCAAAGCTCTTTGAAGTAAAGGTCTGGGGCAGGAATCATACATTGTAAGCCTCGAGGCATCTTTTTGTGCCGGAGTACAAGGAAGCTACCTGAGATTAATGGGGTAATGTCAGTAGCACTCAGGAGCCAATTTGAAGGATCTCCCGTTGGCCGTGGTCAGGACAATTAGAGCACTAAAAAGAATAATACCTACGATGGATTGAAACACATCAAAGATATAAAAGTAGAAGTAACAAAACCCCCAACAAATCCTCATAGGGCATCTTTAGAGATTGCTTGGGCATCAACTTATTATTTTGTAAATTGATAAATAAAGCGAAAGAGTAAAGCATTTGTCTTGCCTTTCCTGTAGGAACTGTATTTCAGTGTAACCAAATAGTCAGTGAAGGAAAATTTTTCTTTATAGGAGAATCACAGCTAAAAAATTAAAAAAGAGAACTAGAAAGTTACATTTTGCAACCCTCTAGTGAAATAATGGATCTGAGTAACAATCATCAATGTCTGTCACAACCATTAGATGGACTATGGTGGGGTACTCTATAATGAATGTATTAGACCAAACACACCCACACCTACTGATTGACCCTTTTCCCCCAACATTTTACTATGAAAAATTTTCAAATTTGAAAGAATTTTATAGTGAATCCCTGTATACCAGCTGATATTACCATTAGTATTTTCTTGTACTTGCTTTATCACATATTTATCTAAGTTTCCATTCCTTTATCCATCTTATTTTTGATATGTTTCAGTGTTAACGCACATATCAGAACACATCCCTGTAAATATTTCAGTGGGAACTGACTGATCTCACATCACCATAAGTGGACAAGCAGATATTACGTGCCTCCTGATGTGATATAGTAGGAAGTATGCAGCACCACTTGGGAATGATTCTTACCAAAAAACACAGAAAACTTGAACCTGAATCTAATCAAGGAAATTCAGGAGATAGAAGAGCAAGTTAAACAATGCCATGAGAAAACAATAGGTCAGATTCAGAATGTGGGAAATTCTACAGCACAAGTGACCCAGTTTCTTCATCAAAAAAGTGGCATAAAAAAAGGAGCTAGATCCTGATTCAAACAAACCAATAGTATGAAGACATTTTTGCAACAGTCATGGGCCAGGTATTAGAAGATATTAAAAAATTCTTAATGGGTGTAATCATGGTATGGCAATTATGTGAAAAACAAATCTCCTTATTTGTTAGAACTGTATGTTGATAGGCCGGCCCATGGCTCACTTGGGAGAGTGTGGTGCTGATAACACCAAGGCCACGGGTTCGGATCCCATATAGGGATGGCTGGTTAGCTCACTGGGTGAACATGGTGCTGACAACACCAAGTCAAGGGTTAAGATCTCCTTACCGGTCATCTTTTAAAAAATAAAAAAGAACTGTATGTTGAAATGTTTATGGATAAAAGATTAAATATTCAGCAGAGTGTGTTGGGAGATGGCGCATTAGTATGTGTGATGGTGCAGAGAGGAATGGGGCATGCAGTGGTCTGTGTGCTGATCAGAGCCTTGCACCAACTCCCAAGTTCTTTCATTCCAGCACTGTCCCGACCCGCGGGATATTCAATGCAGACCCTGGAGGGGGGAGTGGGAATGGTATGG